TTCCCAGCAGATGGCCTGCTGGAAAGTGATCTGCCCATGTACAGGACTCGAGGTCACTCGCAGGCCTCACCTGCCCTTCCACTTTCTAGGCGCCATCAGAGGACAGGCTTGCTGGCACCTCCATCAGGATAGAACCCCCACACTCTTGCTAGTCATTGGCTGGGCCCCTGGGAAAGCACTGGGCCACTTCCAGCCAGAGGGAGGACACTCATGCTCTGGGCTGCCCCCTGAAGAAAAGCCCGTATTTCCTAAGAGCTGGAGGCAGAAGAGGAAAAGCCAGCGTTTGCTGAGCACCCCGTGTCCACACTGGGCAAAGGGCCTTCTACCAGGCACCAGCTTGGGGTCTCACAGGCAGGTCTGGGGCAGCGCATGGTTCTGACGCCAATTCCCGCCTCACCTCCTCTTCCTGCAAACAGCCCAGGCACATGTGGCCCTTCAGACCCTCACCCCTGGTGCCTGTCTCCTCACAGCTGTTGTCCCTGGTTCTGCTGCCCTGAGCCTGCCTTCTACCTTCTCCAAGGTACCCTTCCAGGAAGATCCTTTTTCTACACTAAAGCCACCATGACACATGAGTGCCCATGTGTCCAGAGGCACGGTTGCTACAGGAACGGGCGAGGCTGCAGCCAGACCTCGCACAGTGCTGGGTACCAAGAAGCCAACCTCAACCCAGGGGCTCCAGCGCCTGTGAGGCCCTGGGCTGGGAGCGGACAGGAGCCCTGCTGAGGATACGTGGGCGACTGAAAACCCAGGGCAGCCTGCCCTCTCCAGCCGCCTCCACCTTCCAGCATGGCTTCAACCTGTGGCAGGAGGCAGGGAAGACGGGTGGTGCCCCATTCACTTTGGACTCAATTCGGGTTTTACCTCAAGGCCCAGAAGGTCCGGCTGCTTCTGGGCCAGGTTCAAGCTGGAGCGTCAGGAATTGCCGTAAGAACCCATTTCCAGGGAGTTCCAGGGCTCACGCTGGTGCATGTCACGGCTCTGGAAGGAGCCCGCCCCAGGCAAACTTCACCGATTCCTGGGCCCTTCCACTTCCCCTGGCCCAGCAGAGAGGTTCCCTGTGCCCGTCCTGGGAGACAGGGCTATTAAGGGCACCTTTCCACAGGTGCAGCACCTGAGGCTCGGATGGAGAACCACCTGACCCACAGGTGAAGGGAGCAGAGCATGGACCACGCTCACTACACCTGGCAGGGGGTGGGGGCACTTTCTGGACGAACCGCTGCACCTGAGTTTTCCCAGCTCTGGGCAGGAGCGGCCCCGCCTCCCTTTTAGGAACCGGGGAACACCTGGCCAGAGTGGGGGCAGGGAGGGGCCGTGACAGGCTGAGGGGTCAGACAGCAGAGAACCTTCCCCTTGCCTGCCCTGCCTCCCTGCCACAGCACCATGAAGCAGCAGCCGCATTCTGGTAGCTCTTTCGCTTTTATTGCCAAGTAACAATTTACATGGAAGTTCCAGTTTTCATTTCCAGCCTGGTGTGCAGTACCCACAAAGCATGAGTCACACTGGCGAGCAGGTACTTCCCTGGAACGGTCCCTCAACCCAGAAGCATGAGGTTTCCTAACCCTGCTCCTCCTTGGGACAAAATTATTTACATATTTTCAGCTCAGAGGAACATTAGGAACCCTTACAGTTTATACTCAGTGTCAACATGACTACACGAAATATTTATTTATTGCATCTAGAAAAGATGAGAATCAGTTCACCCTGCGCCTTTTTTTTTACAGTGCATCTTGAGACCATGGAGAAATCTCGTGTGTCTGTGAAGGGTGGTCTCTTCACTCCCTGTCACTGGTTGATGCCAGTGTTTAAGTGGGAAGCTGCCTTCTGCAGAGAGCACATGGCAGGACGGGCTTGGCGGAGGGGAGGGGGCGGAGGAGGCCTACTGGTGGTGGGAGGACCCTCCCGCCCAACCCTCCCTGGGGTGGGGGTATCTGCCCCACCTTCTCGCCATGGCTTTGGGCTGGTCCCCCTCCTTGAGCTTGCCCATCTTACCTTTGGGGAGAGGTGCCCTCACTCACTCAAACCAGAAGAAACATGTTCTTCTCTGCAGCAACTTTCAAAGCTGAGGGGCCCAGTGTGGACTTGGGGAGGGTGAGACCAACTCAGTCCCTCCTTCTGTAGGAATGTGGAGGTGGGGGGCTGGCTGGGCTGCCTGAGGCTGCCCCTAGAGATCTGAATCTAAGGCCCATGGGTCAGAGGGTACCCCCACCCCCGGCTCTGGGCTCTCCAAGAATTCCTTGCTCTAACTCTCTGCCCAACCTGAGACCCAGTATGCTATTAAGTTTGTGGAGTTCTCCTGAAAACACAGCCGAGCCCACTGCTGTCAAGACAGCCAACACCTGGTGAGATGGGACCTTCATCAGAGCGAAGACCCTAGCCTGCCTCCTCCAGACCCCAGACCCCAGCAGAAGGACAGGTGCTCTCCTTCTCAGCATTAAGGTGTCTGGTTAAAGCAGTCCCACCCACACACCTAAAGGTGTCCTGTCCAGGTCAGCTACTGGCAGGCTGTGGCCCCAATCTGTACCTTTCCTTAGACAGTCCATGGAGGCTGGGCTGCGTTCAGCTCCCCAAGCCTGGGGAATGCTGTCAGAGGTGCCTGGGACATGCTGGCCCCTGCCCAGGACCTTCTCTTTCAGTGCTCGGAGGCAATGAAGCCGCCTGGAACTACTGGATTTCTGACAGCTAGTGGGCGGTCCTTGGTCCACCTGGTAAGTCACTTGCCTTCTCAATTCTGCTGCCCGAGTTATTTGAAACCAGAAGTGCATGGGCCTGCAGCTGGCTTGTTTCTATGTCCAAGCAGAAGGAGATCAAGCAGGGCATGTGGCTGGCTGCTGGAGAAGTGGGTGCTACCATCCCTGATGGCACCTCCTTTCCCCCTACAGACTATCCTCTTCTGTCCCACCTGGCTCTGCTGATGGTTGTGCCTTGTCCCTCTTGCTGTGGCCCCTGAATTTCAGCCTAAATGGGTCTTTTCTTTGTTGAAGATTGGTGGGCACAGCTATCTGGAGGGCTTCTGACAACTGGAGAGACCTGTCCCCATAGGCACCACTCCCCCTCCTCTGCAGGAACTCTGTTTCCTTTGGGAGGCTGGAATCTGGCCTCAGCAGGCCCTGATGTGACGGCTGGATTGAGGGGGGTGGTGAGGGCAGCATCCTCTAATAGGTGGGGGATGAGCACTCAGAGAGTCTTCTGAGGCAACCCAGTTACTGGGCTGGGCCATGCTGACACCCCGGTGGACACATGGAGGGAAGCTGTGGAAGGTCTCAGCGCAGAGAACTGCCCCCCATCCCAAAGGGAGAAGGGGGGGTTCATTTAACAAACAAGCTGTGTCTCTGCGGCAGCAGCAGAGAGGAAGGGTGCACACAGAGTCAGGAGGCAGGCGACGCAGAGGGTGGCTGCCATGGCCTCTGCTCCCCACCATAGCCACTGGGGCTGGGGGCTTAACGATCCTAGGTGATTCCTTCTTAGACAAATGGAGATGGCAACAACTGAAGGGGATGCTGGGAAACTGTCCTGTTTGCTTTCAGTCCAGAGTCGAGGAATGGGCCCTGAGCGGGAGCTGACTGCACTGGGCCTTTCATTGAAAAAAGCTTTCAGGTAGCGAGAGGCCCCTTGGCTGCCAGGGCAGAGAAACCTCCCGCCCTTCTGCTCTGTGTGTACCTGAGAATACATGTATCTCCTTTATTTTGTTTAAAAAATACTCTAAGCTTTCCAGGAAGGTACTTATCACCCCACAGGCTTGCAGAGTTAGTAATAAAGAAATAAGAATCACTTAAGAAAATGGAGAACTCTAAACCAAAACACTGGGAAGTTTGGGGGAAAATGAAAATGAAATCTTAACAGTCATCTTACACTTTTTACATGACATCAAACCTTAGCATTGAGGATTTTTTTGGACTTTTCAATAAAATAGGTGCTTTTAAAATAAATGCTTTTCGCCTGCTGCCAAAGCGGAAATAAATACCCAAAGGAGATGTTTATCGAAGTTCACTTTTCTACAAATTTCTACCTACAGTGACCTTGTGTGCTTCTTCCATGCACGCTGGGGATGGTACGGAGGAGCTGTGAGCCTGGGAGGGCTGGCTGATGAAGGGGGTGGTGCTGGTGGGTCCTGCCACCCGGGCTGCGGGGCTTGCAGACCAGGAACCCTACCTCCTCGAGGTGTGGCTTCAGCCCTCTGGGTTTGCTGGGGTGTCTCCACCAATCCCAGCTGCTCTCAAAGAAGTGTGAAGTGAAAG